GTCAGTTAAAAATCACTATTAAAGTAAAACAAGCGTCAGTTAAAAATCACTATTAAAGTAAAACAAGCGTCAGTTAAAAATCACTATTAAAGTAAAACAAGCGTCAGTTGAAAATCACTATTAAAGTAAAACAAGCGTCAGTTAAAATCATTAAATGCGGAGCTTGTTAACACCAGTGGCATCCTGTTGCATTTTAGTTTGATTTCTAGATTTAGATTTCTGGTGTCTTTTGGGCATTTAATTTTGTGTGCATTTTAAAAACTTTAAAATGTAGTTTAAATTTCTTTATTCCTATCATGGTGTTGTCTGTTGGACAGTAGGATTGAAAATAGTTTGCACTTTATGGTCCAGGTTGTGACTGTCCTTGTGCTGTGAGGAAGTATCTTCTTTAGCCCAGCTGATCTTTTGCAAGTGTGGATGTCACTGAAATACACCTTGAAATCGATTAAAACACCTTGTGGTCAATTCGATTCATGACTCATCCTTTTTTGCATTAAATAACTCTAAGTAACTTTTACTCAAATAACATTTTAAATAAAGTAATTTTGTACTTTTACTTGAGTAAATTTTGAGATGGGTAATTTTACTTTTACTCTAAGTAGAATTTAGGCAAAGTAAAGATACTTTTACTCAATTACAATTTTTTAGTACTCTTTCCATCTCTGGGAGGAACCAAGCAGGAACTGACATCCAACAGAGCAGTGCTATCTGTCCCCGAAATCTCGCCCCTCCATCACCAGCGTTCCTTGGTGTTATTTTTATTTTGAGGATTTGGGGAAAAATGGAAGAAAGTTCCCATCTCTGCATCAGAGTGCTACCTGTTCCATCTGTAAACAGTTTTCTAAGCTTGCAACAAAACTGGCAACATTAATTTATCCAGAAGTTCTGCAATCACACTTTTTCTCTTACTCCCAACTTGGTGATCGGCTGCATATTTAGCAAGAAAAGCCTTTCCTAAATGACTCTTTTTTCTGTTTGACAAACTCTGATTACAAAGCAAAAATGCAGGCAATCCCTCTGCATTGGTAATGAAGGCAAATCATTCGCTCCATTCGTCTTTGAATCCTCTGTTCTCATCAGCTATCTTCCTTCTTTTCCCTTTGGGATCCATGGCCTGAGACACACCTGCTGCTTTGTTTCCCTAAAACGTCTCTTTCAGGCCTAACCACTGATCTCTATGGTTATGATGCAGATTTTCGTTGAAAGAAGTGTTTACATTTATTGTTTAAATTTATTTATTATAATTTTTTTTACACAATGTTTGTTAGAGCTCCTGCACACCATATTAAAACAAGCAAAACATTTTTTGAAAAAGCTCCAGATTATTTTTAATTACCGTATATTTAGGTTGGTGGTTTGTGTTTTCATATAAAAGGAAAGTTGTGATGAACTGAGCATCTTTTTCATCCTCGCTTGCCTCCTCTCCTCCCTGGTGGTTCTGAATATTTCTGTCTGAAGTTAGTTTTTAAATGAAAAACGTGACGTCTGGGTAGATCTTAGCAGATAAAGCCCAAACAAGCCTCAGTTTCTGAGTAAGCCCGTCGTAAACGATGCTTCCTCTCTGCGACTCTGCGTATGACTCACAAAGAAGTGGGTTGTACCTGTGATTAGATGCAGCTTGTTGTGTAGTTTTTGCCTTTAAAACTCAAGGCCTCAGAACAGGTGCACAG